CCCCGCGCGCCCCGCTCCGCGCTCGCGTTCCCACAACCTCGTGTCGCGTCTCGAGACCGTCGAAAACTCGCGCTCAGGACGTAACAGTGACTTAATATGCGGTAACGAGAATTATTACACGTCGTCGTACTTTTCGCGATTCCTTGAGCGAGGCTTTATATCTCGCAATACAATAAAACTTCGGAAAGGATCGAAGATGAACAATGAGTGAACGCCAATGTAATTTTACTTCAGTTTAATAAAACTCGGATAACAGTTTTAACACGTCCGTACTCTCCGAAGTCTACTAATCGAATCCCCTAGTTCTTTTTCCAGAGTCTCGCATGACTCCTCGTCTTTCCTTCTCGAATTTTCTAGTAGTTTTCGTTATTTTGTATTTTTCTATTTATCTCTACTGTTTATTCGTCCGTCATTCGATTTTGTCGTTACTTTATTTTAATCGTTAAAAATTCAAACATATAATTTCAACTTACTTTTACATTATTTCTCCTTTTACTTTATTTAATATCGAATTTCGTACCTGACTCGCATAAACAGCAGCGGCATTTAAATGCCTCTACTGTCTCGCTTCGCGTATGTGTGCACAGACAATATTATGTCGTATGCGTGCTTTCCTACTGAATGCCACGCATCTTTTTCTTAACGTGGCGGTATTTGTCGCCACAAAGTAAATCTATATTAGTAAAGAGAGATTAGCATTTATTTCTGTAAAGAGTTAAATAAGCTGACGTTACTCGTCATTTTGATATCATCTAAACGACATTTTGACGTTTAGGACGCCATTTGGACGTCACTATAATAATAAATAACAGTTTAATTTTTTGCTGGATAATTGTTAATATATCAAACAAATATCAAAATGGCAGTCAAGATCACCGTCATGGTATGGGACGTTTTGCAGTCATATAGTCGTAATTTTGCCATCATTTTGATTACTCTTTTTAACATCATATTCCTAATCAATTTGACGTCACATTGACATTACCTTGACGAAGTAGTTTTCACTGGGATATTGCATTATCTCGAGTAACATCTCTTGATGGTTTGCATTTAATTAATTTTGATCCTTCATCCGTGTTTGCTAGTGAAAAAGCTATTATAGAATATAATCGATTGAAACAAAGTCACACAATCCAGAATCAGAAATTATCACTATTTCAAAACAGCGTTATCGTAAAGTTAAAGATGATCCGTGGACATTGTCGAAAATAATTACTTCTGTTCAAGAATCAGGTCAAAAAGCTCTATAAGAAGTACTGCTTGGATTATACGTGGTTTCCAAATATAGATAAAGTTTCATGCTATGCGAATGCAGTATTACAATGTTCATTAAATTTATATATTTTCAGAATGGAGTTATTAAATTACGATAAATTTGATGTAACGTCCGCCTGACAATTCGCACGTGGCGAACGTCACGATCGGCGACGCCAACACGTTGCCATGACAACGTGAATCGTCGCGAAATCGCAACACAATCGGGAACCGCGATCACGCGCTCATCGCGTGATCGAGCAACCACCGCACCGAAACGCGCTGCGCCTACGCGACCAGAATTATTTAATTGCACAAAAACTCAATTAATGCGACAGCAATAATAAGACTGCAGATGGCAAACTCGAAATCCCAACAGCAGAAAACCTCGAGGTTCCTCGGGCACCCTTGATCCAGCATAAATGGATAAAAGAATGAAAATTGCGTTTCATTCAAAATCTGCAGATGCATCCGCGAAAATAACGGCACCGTCTCATCAAGCATCTCGCACTGCGCTTATGGCCAAGAGTACTTGACGAAATCCTAGCCGCAAGCGCACTAAATCCTTCCAAGTAACGAAACAAAAACCGTTACATACAGCCATTGACAAAATTATTAGGCACCCTTGCTTTTTCTAAATTTTTCACAACTGAATGTGCATAAGCTCTCTATTTGCGTGTTGTTTTCATGCTACTGACTTTGTGAGAAGGTCAAACAACTGAGGCATATAAGTTTCTTAGAGAAATGATAATATGTACAAAACTGTTTAGTGTGCATTTCGACTTCGAATAATACGGACGTTATCAGTCTTGTTTCGAGCAATTGCTAGGCAATTCTTTATCTTATTATTGTTAACATATTATCCGAGATTTCAAAGTATGCCTAAAACACGCGAGTTGAGTGAAGGAAAACGGGCTCAGATTATTGTGTTGCAATAATCGAAGAATGAGATTATTGTGTTGCGATTTTCGAAGAATGGGAGAAAATATCACCTACTATATGCGAAAGATTAGTACATAGCTTACCTAAAAGAATAGCAGAAGTCATAAAAAATAATGGCGGACCAAGCAAATATTAGTTTATATGATTATTTAAGAAATAAATGATAACATTTATAAAGATAGTGTTATTTATTTCCTTATAAATTGAAGAAATTGTTAAATAAATAAGGTGCCTAATAATTTTGTCAATGGCTGTAGTTACCGTTGACGAGAAAAAGAGCGAGCGCTTCATGCTAGCAACTCCGTTTAGAAAAACTAGCGATCCTAGCTCATTGCGAATAAGCGCGCGCCGCAACTGCACGCTATGCAGTTCAGGGGCGGAGCCCACAAGAGGACCCTGTCAACGCTTAGATCTAAAAATTTCAACCTTTAAGACGACCAAATTAACGAAATTGAATCCGATAGAATGTTCTAGAATAATTTCAAAATCTAACATGGCTCTTGACAGGTCAACCCCCTTTGCCGCTCAGCATCACCCCTTGCCATATTATTTAAACGACACCCGGTGCGAGCCCGGAGAGTCCGTGGAAATTTCTTGGAAAACTAACAAGTCTTCCGCTGAAATCGCGAATTTTTATACGACGTCTTGCTCTAAGAATTTCGAGCGCGTGCTACCGAGCAAGCAGAAGAGAGAGTTTTTTTTGTGCGTGCATCGACGACTCCTGGGCCCACGCTTGGTGGACGGGCATCGCCAATAATCACCTGAGAAATATCCCAGACCAAAAAGTGAGTTTTATGTCGCACTTCCGTCGTCGGTCGGTTTTCAGATTGAGAAATTCGCGCCATCGCGACCGTCATCAGCGGATCAATAATCTCGCTAATCATTGCGTGATCTAATTATGTGATCCGCGAATAAGCTATTTATGTGTAAAAGTGCAAAGAAAAAGTGGAGAGTAACGGACCATTGTAAAATATTTTCTTTTTTTTGTATTAAAGTTACCAACTTCGCAGTAAATCCTTCGCTTATCATTTAACTTCGCCCTTTTCTTTTTCTCTTTCTTCTCTTTTCTTCCCTTTCTTTCGCATACTCTCTAGCCGGCGGGAAGTGCCTTCTTGTCAGTGACTGGTCTGTGTCGTCCGCATTTCCGAATATCTCAATTATTCCGCGAATCCAGAGAGGGAAACCTCGCGCGTTAAGGAACTTTAAAAATCGCTCCAGGCTTCCTTCACTCTGGGGCGACAGGTCCACACCTCCTAACCCCGCTTTGGCAGGCTTTCCTCAGGGTCGCCGAGGCGTCCCGGCCACATCCGGGTTCCCCGGCTCCTCTCAGAGCCGCTGAGACCTCCTTAAGATATCGCTTTGGCAGGCCCCTCTCACGGCCGCCGAGGCTTCCTAGCATCGGTTGTCGGTGGCTGAAGCCGAGCCCCGGCCGCCTTCCAAGCGGAGAGCAAGGGCTTACGACGAGCCCCCTACCGCTTAGCCTAAATCTCACCCCCTGTCGCTTACGAACTGTTAATTTCCATTCTTTTCTGTTCGGCTGTTTCCATTTTTTTTTCGAGTCACGCGGGTAGTACAATATCTACAATATCTACCCTTGTAGATGCCGAAGACCCATCGCGCGGGGCGAGACCAGACCTTGAAAAGGCTTCAGCGGGAGTATCACTACCGCCTGGATTTCGACCCGCGGGAGTTTATCGATCCTCTGGTGATCCAGAAGACGGGATTTTATCACCCTGTCCCCGGCAACAGCCAGGATCTACCTCCGCCTCCCCCGTTACCCGCGAGATCGCAGCCGCAAGTGACTAACGTCGAGACGGTGACGGGGCAGTACTGGACCTGTAAAAATTTTTTACACCGGCGAACTTAATAAAGCGTTCCCTGAGTCAGCACACTGTTTAAAATCATCTATCTGAAATATTATTTTCCTTCTTTTTCTTTCTTTCTTTCTTTCCGCTTACGTCGTTCTCGCTCTGCGCGAAAAGCGCAAGGCCGCCTTACGCGGAACCTCACGGTCTCGCGTCTGGGCGCACTGCACGCGCCCCGGACGTGACATTGATGTTCTAAATTTGTTCGCGCATCGATATGAACATGGAATAAATAATTTGAATACTTATGAAATACGGCAATCTTTAGGAGAGTATTTTTCGGTTGCTATTAAACGCGATGCATTAGAATTTCTTACAGCTTTTTGTACAAAATATGATTATATAAAAAGTATAGTAGAACATCAAGCTACTTTTACTTGTCGTTGCAATTCATGTGGTTATACAAAAGTTATTACTAATACTAATATTTTTCTTTCAATTTCTATTAACAGTTTGTACATATTAATGAAATTTGTACATATTAATGAAATTTAAGTTTGTAGTACATTAAATTTCAATACGTTTAACTTAAAAGTTAAGCGTATTGAAATTTAATGTACTTTTACATTTACGAATATTAATAATATTTTAATTAAGCCTAATACTATTAACGCTTAATGTTTAATACGTTTACGTTTCTTACATGTCATTAACGTAAATTACTTTTCAGTTACAGATCTCGTACTTTTCATTAACGTGTAAATTAATTTCTACAATAATGTGTTCATTAATTTCAATACATACGTTCATCACATTTAAGACTACTGTAAATTAGTTTTTATTTACATCATTCATTACATTTAATTTCGTGCATAACCACATGCTTCCTTTACATGTTAATTAAAATTCATTGAGAAATTTCTAACAGTGTATTTATGATAAATAATATTCGTAAAGGACTCTTAATAATAATAAAAATTAAATATGAAAACAAGGCACGTAAGAGTCAATACCAACGCACAATATTAAAAAATAATCAAAATTCTATTACATTAAATAACATTACATAAATTCCATTGCAAATTATTACATGTTTCGGTCTTTATATTAGACCCTCTTCAGATATATGATAAATATAAAATTTTTACATTACTTCTAAAACGCTGAATAAAATTTGATAGTAAACCACGTCAACGAATGAACATAAACCAAAGGTATCGAAATTGCTTGACAAAAGGTTGAATGGCCGATTGAACATTAATATAAAGACCGAAACATGTAATATTTTGCAATGGAATTTATGTAATGTTATTTAATGTAATAGAATTTTGATTATTTTTTAATATTTTGCGTTGGTATTGACTCTTACATGCCTTGTTTTTATATTTAATTTTTAGTGTATTTATGTATATTCCTATTTCGAAAGTCTTCTTATTCCAACCTCGCAAAGAAAAGTGATAGTAACTTGAACTTTTCTTTAAAAATAATTTCATTAAAGGTCTTCCTATTCTGATTTAAGTAATAATTGTTTTAGGCCCGGTTGCACCAACGTTACTTTGACTTTAAGCGAGACTTAAAACTCTGTCTCGTTTTAGTCGAAAAAGAGACACAGATAGATAGAGTTTAAGCCTCATTTAAAATCAAAGTAACGTTGATGCAATTGGGTTTTAATTCTTTTTAAAAAATTATTACATAAAAATAAAAGATAATATGTATAAATACCAGTAAAGTTATTAAAAAAAGATCAAGTAATTACAGCATTAACTCTACTTAAAAAATTATTATATATTATGTAAGTAGTATCACAAAATCCTTAATATTATATAATACAGATGTGACTGTTGTTTTTATACGCATTGACATTTTTATATTACAATTACAAAACGATGGGGGAGGCGGTGGGATTTTTTAAAATTATATACAAAATAACTTTTTTAAAAGAAAGACAAAAAAGGCGCTAAGAGCGTGTGCTCATCCAATAAAACTATTATACGGTAAAATCTACTGAATATAAAAGATTTGATATTAGCAATGGTGCAAAGTTGAATCCTATAGGATTTTTTAAAATTATATACAAACTTACCTTTTTTAAAAAAAGGTAAAGAAGGCGCTAAGAGCGTGTACTTATCCAATAAAACTATTTTACGGTAAAACCTAAATATGATAAAACCCAGATGAAACGTATTAAAAAAAAATAGTATGCCAAATTAAAAAGTGCAATCCAAGTGGTACTATCTTTACTAAGGGATACGGTACACCTTCTTGTATTTTCATTGAAAGTCTTTCTATTTCAACTTCTCGTCCTAAAAAAATATTCTAATAGTGACACGTATCATTTGTATCTTTATCAAAATAATTAATTAAATTCTACAAAATTAAAAAATGAAACCCAAGACTATCTTTTTACTTACTTAACTTTAATGATATGTGTATATCATGTGTATAAAAGATTTGATATTAACAACAGACGCCAAGTTAAACTAGTACATTTATTATTTACTTAATTCCAATGATATATTATACTGTGGCGGTCTATTTGACACCACATACATATTTCAAATAACTCGAACGAAGCAAACTTCATGCGGATGCATTTGTTTCC